AAGCATTCACTCCGAAACATTGTGTTTCACATAATAAAGACCTTGACATCCGGAAACATTCGCGTCTTGTATTATTCACTTCTAAATACACCTCAAAGACGTAATGGTGTAAACATACAGTCACTACTGGGTGAATATACTTGTGCCTTCAACAATACAACTGCCTGACTGAGTTTGGTTTTACGCCGCTTTTAGCAATATTCCAGCAACATCACGGAGGTGGACACCACAACGTTGATGAAAATCTATTACTAGTACCATTATTACTACATAGAAAATGCAATAAATGTTCAGATATTATATATAACATATTACTACCTCTGGTCTGGGAAGCATGTAACTCCAGAGCAAAGTTTTGTATAGATTCTGTGTCCTCTTTAGAAAATAAGATATTACATTCGGTCAATGAAGTGTGATGAATTGCATAATTTGAGTTTTGAGAAAACTAGTGCAAAGTGTGATTGTTCAATTTAGTTCTCTTTTATTCAAACTTACTTGTGGATTACTCATTTTAAATCATCCTTGGCATTGTCAGTTTCTTGTTGATTGATGTTTGTGTAATTCATCAAAATAACCTAGTAATTCGTTATAACCTGCCATTTTCAGAAACTTGCACAACGCCCAAACAGACTTGCATCTATTGATTGGCCAGATAGACGATAGAAAAAGGTAGCGACAACACTCACCATAGACATGACATCACCAGTCGTGAGTGACGAAGATGACGTCAATTAGTTGCATTCCGTCCCCTTTGTCTGTGAGTCCAGCAAGCTTATGGCATACACGACGACACTGGACTTGGAAAGAATCTACACCTCCACTGCTCTCGTCAAGGCCAACAGGAGGACGAGGATGAGGCATCCAACCAAAGTAACAGAGGGATCTCCGCCCAGGGATGCCCTTACAGGGGCTTACTGACCAGCTCTTGCAATTTAATTGAATTTATTTTCAATTTCATAATGTAATTTTATTTTATTTTTGTATTGTAAGCTGTATGTTGTTATTGTATATCATAGTGGATGTTTGGCGATAGTTGTGACATAGAGTGTGTGGCTGAATGCCAAGGCGTGCAAATAAATGTCCGATGCAACTATGTTTTATCACTGTGTTAAGTTGTATGTTATTGTTATTTTTCATCATTAGCCTGATTTTAGAAATAAATTTCGTATCTAACATGCTATTTCAAGATAATAAGTGAATGAAAGTTTAACTGATGAAAAATTACAACTTTGTTATAAATGATATATGATTTCTAAAACTGGATTGAGTTATGCCAACATGTTTTGCCCTGTTCTTTAGTGCTATATTACTAGTTATATGTATGATCTTTATTTGCCTTAAATGCTAATCCATACAATGTTGAGAAAATAAAACAATGAATCTTATTATATATTCTGTTTTCTTTTAGTAAATGTCATGATAATAACAAATTGCTTATATTGTTTTGAACAAGAGTTTATGATATAAATAAAGAAGAATGTTTACATTTAGCTCTTTGAAACGCATATGAAAACCCGTGAACCTGAAATTGAAACCGGTAACTGAAACTATGCGGAAACCTTGTCGGATTGTTGGTAACTGAAACTATGCGGAAACTATGTCGATTGCTGGGAACTGAAACTATGCGGAAACTATGTCGGATTGTTGGTAACTGAAACTATGCGGAAACCTGTTGGAGTCTTAATAACTGAAACCTTGCGGAAACCTGATGGATTCAAAGTTAACTGAAACTCAACGGAAACTTCTTGGAGTGTGGGTAACGGATACCTTGCGGAAACATGTTGGAGTGTGGGTAACGGAAACCTTGCGGAAACCCTTGGAAAGTGGGTAATTGTAAGTTTCCGTTATTGCGGAAACTCAATGTAAAAGAACGGAAACTCACTGGATTCTAGGTGGAAACTTAAGTTTCAGTCCACTTTCTACCAGGTTTCCGCATTGCGGAAACCGAGTTATTTTTGCTGTGTATCTGTTGCCTTTACTGGTTACTGGAGAGATAGGACCTACTATATCCACAGCTACTCTGCGAAATGGCGTCTCAATCAGTGGCATAACTCCAAGTGGGACTTTAGAAATCCTTCCCGTTTGGACAGTTCTCTGACATACATCACAGGAGGCTACATATCGCTGCACATCTCCATGCATCCCTGGCCAAGGAATTTAGAGCGAATTCGATCCAGGCTCTTCTTCACTCCTAAGTGACCAGACAGGGTCGAGTCATGTGCTAATTTAAGCACCTTGTTCCTATACAACTTTGCGAGAACCAGCTGTGTGAACAAATGACCTTTCTAAACTTTAGGGGAACTAAAATGTCTATACAAGAGATGATCTTGCTGCACAAATTCAATCATGTTTCCACTCCAGTCATAATCCTCAACACCAATTGATAAATTTACTTATTAAACTTTGCTAAAGAAACCAGAAACGTACTCACAAAAAGGGCCTTCTCCTTAGATCTCCCTTGACAGTATGAAGTTCAACTGTGTTAACTTCAACTTAACAAGTCTTACATCCACCCCTAATACATCCTAAATAACTTTCATAAAAAGAGCATGAAACATGACAAATAGTGTATGGACTCCTTAGAGCTAAGCATACTGAAAAAATATGGGTCATAGCGGGGACAGTGACAGACACTCTGGGTATATATTACTACATATATATTTTATCTTTCCTACATAAACTGTAATTCTCCCTTTAATGCTTCATCACAATAACCTGTCAAATAATCTAACATAACGAATTTAGCCATCTACACTGTTACAATTGACACAATCTCACACAATTACTCACATTTTTAGTAAAATGAGAGTAATTTATCCAACGACATATCCGACATGATTGCTATGTTACACAACACTTCCCCTAGTTAGTGGACACACATGCACGAGCATCTTGCTATGCACGCCGCGTTCTCAACTCAATTGACACGGTCGCCAACTCTCACCTATTCTGAATCCCATTCCACCAAAACATTCCTCTTATGCAGATTATATTAATTATCTGCTTTTTTATCTTTTTACTTTTTGTTTGTGTTGCTTTAATAAATATAATTTGTGCGCATTACAACTTCAACAAGGAATTTTCTGTTTACTTTGTATGCTATTTGTCTCTGCTTATGTTGTACTGTATGTCATTTTACAATGAAACAAATGTTGGCAAAAAACTTTACCTACGCTTCCCAACCGTCCATATGTATATTTACTTTTTACTTATGCCAGATGCCGGTTCATATAGCTCAGTACAGGCAGGCGGTTGGATTATTTCACTTGCATATCTCGAGCAAGGCACGCTGCTCGTTTCTCTTATTATCTATATTATTTATTTCTGTCTGGATATTCAAACTAAAAACTCCCATCTTTATTTACATTTCAATTTTATTACTATGCTGTGGCGATATTCATACAAACCCTGGCCCTTGCAATGACAGTAATCTGAAGATTGTTCATTTAAATGTAAGGAGTCTGAAGGATAAAGTAGATTTACTCTCGTCCGAAATCTCTTCATATCATGTAATTTGTGTGACAGAAACCTGGCTACATAGCGGTATTCCTCAGAGTGATATTTCGATTCCAAATTGTCATGTGCCTTACCGTACTGACCGCCCAAGCCGGGGTGGGGGTGTTGCTATATATGTTAAGAATACTTTCTACGTTAACGATATGGATCACCTATCAATACTAGAAGCAAAATGGATACAAATCATATGTAAATCGAACCCACTAGGATCACACCCACTTCTAGAACATTGATTGACTTCTTGTTTGTATTGAATGTTGATAGCGTGTTATGTTCAGGCGTGTCTGATCCAATATATAGCGACCATTGTCCGATTTTCGTCACCTGTAAGGACAATATTCTGAACAATATTACTTTAAAAAGGACAATTTATAATTACAACCTGATTGGTAAAGACAACCTTGTTGAAAGCCTAACTTCAGTTCCTTGGCAAGATGTCTTGTCATCTGACACAATTTATGAAGCAGCAAACTCGTTCTCTTAGTCTGTTGAGAGCTTTACGCAGATAGGAAGACGCGTGATTTAGAGAGTATGCGTACATTTGTCTTGCGGTCTAGTATTAAAGAGAGTATTGAACATTTACAAACCCCCTTCAAAACTGATATTAATCATCCGCTTTGGATTTACGATCCGAGTTACGCAACAGGACTCAACACGCCATACCACTCTTGCTGCTGAACCGTTTTCTACCTCCCAGAATACATTTAATTTATGTAGAATATCACCGCCTTACCTACTCGTATTATAGTAAGCTTCGCATATACGGGAGGGCGTGTGTAATTAAGAGCATCGAGGTACACCTGTCTTGCGTTCTAGTATTGTAGAGATCTTTACATAGACAGCACAACATTTACTAGCCTCCTTCTAAATGTAAACGTTTTAATGCTTGCTGAATTGCATATTTTATGTGGTAAAACACTGAGAGCAGCAATCGAGAATGCTACACTAGCTTGACGGACACCCCCCGGATTCTTATGGTCGCCAATTTGTTTGTGGTTTAATCAGGAGGATCACTGCATTTGCGAGGTTACGTCACCTACAGGCCCTGTGACGTCACCCCGTATATGTGTGTGTGTGTGTGTTCATTTCCAAATCCAGGGGATTCTTTTGCATATTTTACGTGCTACAGTCTCGCTGATTCGAGATTTACAAGACAGGAACATATAGTTTCTGATCACCTACATGATTTCACATTATGGTCAACCAAACATTCATTTACCATGAGTTTCAGTTGACAATCAAAGTAATTACAACAGGTTAACACTAAGTCCACGTTTGTAAACATGGCTGACCATTTGTCACCATAAGTCAATAACCTCTGAAAGTGGACGTAGATCTGACAGGACATTTTAAAGCATGGGACTGAAAACATTTATTACACATTTCCCGTAATTACTCGTACCTCGTTGGTCATTCTGTAAACACGTAATAACTCAATGATGTATGCATCCACAACTTGCGAACGTATGTATCTATATCCACAGGTTTAGGTTCTGGTCTGGCTGCTAATGTGTGTGGCGTGGCTCCAAGCAACTACTTCAATAAGAGACTCCAAGTAGCATACGGTATCTGCATGTCTGGAGGTGCAGTAGGAATGCTGGCAATCGGACCATTAACAGTTCAGCTGTTAGAGATGTACACTTTATCAGGCGCGTTGCTTATTTTGGGTGCCATTGTATTCAATGTGTGCTTAGCTGGAGCTCTAATTCGACCATCGTCCACACCGATGCAAGAGGGGTCAATGTCAATAGATCTTGCCCGCCCAGAAGGCACAGAGGAGATTTGTGATGCACAAGGAGAGCCTGCAATGAAAATGCAATCACAATATCATGTTTCAACTGTAGAAAATACGATCGCCAAATTTGAACAACATGACGAGAACCATTGTTCTCCAGCTGATTTGCCTCGGATTGTTAAAGACAACAGTCCTGGGAAAGGTAATGAAACGGCAGAATCTCAGCTTGAACACAGCTCGCATGTAACAACTGAAAACTCACGGAGTAGGATATTACCTCAATGTGTATCCTTGTTCTGCACAAATGGATTTTTCTTGTATCTGCTCAGTATCATTTTCTGGTCTCTTGGGGATGCAGTCTGCATGGTTCATTTACCAAATTTTGCTGAAGTGAAAGGCAGTACACCTGCTCAGTCTGCCAGTTTGTTCACTGTCATGGGTGTGCCTGCGCTTTGTTCCGGACTGCTGGCTGGTTTTGCCTCTTCTGATCCAGTTATTGGAAACATTATCCTTCACGTTGGACTACTAGGAATGTCAGGGGTGTCCCTTCTGCTACTCCCCGTGCTCTCAAATACGTACAGTCTCCAAATGATTTTCAGTGTCCTGTATGGTACATACAGTCAGGGACCTTTTACATTGGTTAGTCCTATATGCATTGAGCTGATAGGCCGATCTCAATTGGCCATTGGCTTTGGTGTATGTTCCTTTTCCTTTGGACTCGGCTACACGGTCGGACCACCCATTGCAAGTAGGTTAACATTGAACGTATATTTTGCCGGTGAATGTGTGAGCGGCTGATACTATACTGCATTAATTAATGTGTTAATACACGGCTTGTAACTCCCTACCTGACTGGTGCATGGAGGTATGAACCAATCATGAAACATGCATAGCCATAGATACTCAAATATGCATTTTGGTACATAAGCTTTTAGGTTTTGTCATGACCTTAAACTATTTTATCATCAAACTGAGACATATGTTACATGAAGAACCACCACACTGTGTTTCAGGTCTTATCTATCAAAGTACTGGAGTGTATGAGTATTCGTTTCTTTTCTCAGGTAGGTAATTGTGATCACCAATATTGATGTAAAGTGTAAAGAAACAAGTAAAATGAGTTTGATGCAACCCGCCAGATGAAAATATGTTGAAAGAGAAAAGTCCACTAAATGATCAGAGAGTAAGTGTGCACTATGAGTTTTGTTCAGACATAAACATTCGTGTCCCATTTCTTGGACTAAACAGTATGACAAACCAATAATGAAGCATACAACTTTATGGATGAAAACATTTTGTTTATTGACAAGAGCAACGTTTCGATGTAGATTCCTACACCGTTATCACTTTAACTTGATAACAGTGTAAGAATCTACATCAAAAGGTCGCTCTGTGCAATAAACAAGATGTCATCCATAAAGTTGCATGCTTCATTGTTTACTCCCCATGTTCAAGAATGCTGAACCTGCAGGACAACAGTTTCAAACAATTGACAAACCATTGATTGTGAGGCGGTTTCCTTTAATTTCTGATAAAGACAAACAATTAATTTAAAAGGAAAACCACAATCGTACATTTTTTAGAAACAACACGTTTCTTTGTAAACATCGGATTTTCTGTAAATATACATTTAATGTGCTTGCTGTCTAGTTGTTTCAGTACAAAATGTCTCCCAACATCAGTGCCTCATTGTTGTCTGCATATTTCATAGTAAGGGAGTATAGGTCTACGCTGTTTTAGCAATATATCAGCAATACCACGGCGGAGGACACCGGATATAGGTACATATATTTTTTATTCTATTTTATTTGTACATTGTTCCGTTGCAGGTGCCTGCTTCATCACTAGTGCCATCCTCGCCTTGTGTATTCCATTGGCCAAGAAGTCAACATAAGTAGACATTGAAATCTTTGGTGGTTTGGATGGGGACAGATCTTCTCAAAAGCCGTTATGGGCAGGGAAACAAAATTTGGTATGTGCCGTCAGGACATGATGGAGATCAGAAAATGGAAACCGTGTTGCAAGTTGTTACAGAGTTATGGCCCTTGTCATGCGTTTCTTGACTCAGTGCGTGGTATCCCCAATGGGGACAGATACATCGGCTGAGTGAACTCAGCTCCAATGCATACCTTCTCATGCATAGTTACAAATTCTGCTTAAGAATGCAAGGCTTTAAATTGAGCCGACCAGGCACAGAACATATATGTGACCTGCGGATAATTCCTCAATAAACTAAGCTTTCAGTTCCTGAGATGGTAAGAGATTACCAAGAAAAAGAAAATATTTTATTTGTGTGTCACATGTTATACATAAAACATACATAGACACTTTAAAACACTCAATAAAATATAACATCCGGCCATACGACCTATGAGACTGTAACAGGAGGATCCTGCTCAGGTCCTCAGGTCCGCAAGATTCACTGCTTTGAAGCCACAATAACAACAGAACACAAGATTTGATAAAGAAAATTAATTTATTTCAAACTCAACAAATATATATCCCGGAATCAACAATAAACTAAGTTAAATAAACAACAACAAAATAATGCCTCCAAGGATACTATGAAAAGTGAAAACCCTATTAAAAATACCTAGTCTACAGAAACAATAGTGACCCCAGAGTAAAAAATAATCTGCACTTTGATACCCCCTAACCTACAAGTTTTACCCAATAAAATTCTTGCTCTGAAAATTACCCAATAAATGCCTACAAAAAAAGTTCAATGGACTGATCTATCTGCTCATGAGATACTCATGCACTGGCCCATCCCATTGTATTTCAATTGGGAAAAGCATACTAGGCACATGCCTAGTTGGTCCTCACCCCTCAAGAGCTAAATGTACCAGCCCACAGAAGCCTAAGCCTGGTGTATCTTTTCTAGTCAAGCCTATGCCTAACCCTGTCCTAACCCTAAAAGAGAACAAGCTTAATTTATACTAAGAAACCTAACCATTACAAGACACAAGACACTACATTATACCTAAAACATGTAGCAGTGCATAAATATTTACAAGCAAAAGTGAAGTGTGGTATGTTTAATTACAGGACTACAAAGTGCGTTTACGTATATTAAACGTTTTAGTAACCAATGCAGCTAAGGGTTTTATTAATTTAACATTACCTAGCATAAATGTGGCCTGCTCAGTAGGCAGCAAGTGAAAAAAGGGTTAATATTTAATACTTTTTCCCAGAAGTCATATCGTAAATCCGAACATAGCGGACAGCTGACCAAAAAGTGAGCTTCGTCCTCAATCGTATTGCCATCACAACATTTATAAATTATATCATCTGAAGGTGTTTTGGAGCGTGTAAATCTACAGACCTCTATTTCCAAAGGTACCGCATCGTAACTTACTAAGTGTATTGCGATAAGATTTAGGTAGAATATCAGTAACATATGGCTCAGATGTTAATAATAAGTACGGAGTTTATTCAGTGAGGTTTGCCTCTGTCATTTCAAAGTACTTTATTCGAATTCTAACTATATGAATATCGCATCCACTGTGAGACATAATGGAATTCCAATTTAGACATATTATACAGGTCCACCACGCGGAGATCTAAATTGTTAAGAATATTAAAAAACAGTTCTATATACAAGCCTTATTTAGTACAGAAGTTATACAACTGAATTGGTTTGTACCCATAGCATAAGATAGGCTGGACAAGTTTATTGTATAAAGTAATAAAGACTTTATAAGCCAAACCACTACAAGATCTGAATTTACACATGATAACACCAGGTGTTCGCCTAACAGATTTAGCAATTTCTTTAGCTGTAAAGTGCCTATCGATATTTTCCTGCAACCAAACGCCCAGATATTATAGTCCATAGTGACATCGCCAGTTCTGAATGCAACTTGGGATCTATTGAAACAAAAGAGTCGGTAATGATCAACATTAGTTTTCTTCTTGTTGATAATTAAGCACCAGCGTTTACACCAATTATCATCCGCTGTCGGGACAACTCGTCTCCTGCTATCATAGCAATATCATCAGCGTACAGTAGTGTACTCAACATAACTCCGTCAATTTAGATTTAAATTTCTTCAGCCAGGTCATTAATAATAATAATAATATTAATAATAATAATTGACATTTCCTGGATAGAGCTGTGCCTGAAGTTAAGATCATCAGGCAGTCGAATGTCAAAAAGACAAAAGGCAATTTGGAGAAAATTAAAAATACAATACAAGACAACAAAAGAAAAGGTACTTCTCCAAATTGTCGATTCCCTTAAGGCCAAAATAAAGGTTTGGACTGAAAGAAAGAAAAAATGGGAAAAGAAAAATAAATTCATCAAACAAAATAAACTTTTTAGAACCAATGAAAAACACTTCTACAGGCAACTGAAAACAAAAGGTGATGGTGAACATGACAAACGGCCTCCCATGGATGCCAATGAAAGGTTCTGGAAACAGTTGTGGTCTGTACCCGGCAACTGTAACCTTGAGGCACCATGGGTCCGTGATTATGACCATGCAATGCATGAGAAGGTAACTAGGTCGTTTGTCTGTTACATCTCACCAGATTGCCTGAAAAGTGTTATAAAAAAGTCCAAATCTAATACAGCTCCAGGGCCTGATGGCATTCGAAACCGGTATTGGAAACTGTTCCCCTGTGTCCAAACACCGTTACTACACTGTTTCAATACTCTCGTGGACACAGGTGATGTTCCTCCATGGTTCTGCAAAGGTCGCACAATACTTCTCCCCAAGAAAGGAGACTTGACTGATCCCAAAAACTTCCGCCCTATCACATGTTTGAATACACAATACAAAAATATTCACAGGGTGTTTGACAAACCTCGTGTCATCTTACTGCTCTTCCAATGATATAATTTACAGAGAGCAGAAGGGAGCAAGAAAGGGATGTTGGGGGGTGCAAGGATCAACTTCTTGTACAGAAAATGATTTTGGAAGAGGCTAAAACTTATCACCGCAACCTCTCCATGTGCTGGATTGACTACAAAAAAGCATACGACTCTGTCCCTCACGAATGGATTCTGAAGTCTCTTCATTGTATTGACCTCCCTGAGCGACTGATTGATTTACTCAAGTCTTTGATGAGTTGCTGGTCGACTCAACTTGAGATGTACTCACAAGGGCAGGTGCAGACTTCGGAATCTATTCCAATCAGAAGGGGAATATTTCAGGGGGGATTCCTTTAGTCCTTTGCTTTTTTGTCTTTCTCTAAATCCTTTGAGCTTTCTGCTCAATAAAGAGGAGGGTTACCATCCCGGACCTCCTCAGCACAGATCCCCAACACCTCTTACTCATCTCCTTTACATGGATGACATCGAACTCCTTGCCAAAGGAGATTCCAATTTGAAAGAGCAGGTTCTCCTTGTCGAGTCTTTTTCTAATGATATTGGCATGACATTTGGACTCGACAAATGTAATACTCTTCATTTGAAACGTGGCAAGGTAACTAATGATGGATCGGTCAGGTTACAAGGGGGAGGAGTTATTGAGCATCTTGTGGAAGATCAGGCCTACACCTATCTTGGAATGCAAGTTCGAGACAAGCTCCAGAATGCCCAAATTCAAGAAAAACTTCGGGCCGAGTATAAATCTCGTTTAAAGAAAATCTGGAGCTCAGAGCTGAATGCTCGTAACAAGGTCAAAGCCACCAATACTTTTGCTGTGCCAGTCCTCTCCTATTCCTTTGGAGTAGTTGATTGGACAAAACAAGACATCCAGAGTCTTGACCGTCTGACCAGAAGGATCATGTCTGATAACAGAGCCCATCACCCTCGTTCCTCTCTTAACCGTTTATACATGCCAATCAATTCTGGAGGTCGGGGTTTGATTAATGTGGAGGCTCTTCATGACAGAATTTTATTGTGTACTTTTGCACATATTTATTTATCGGATGATCCTCTGGTGATGCATGTGAAGACTCATGATGAAAGCAAGGAATTCCACAGCTATTTTAAGCATGCCAAGGTTGTTGGACAGAATCTGAAATTTGAGGTTGACTTTGCTGATGGCAATGTACTGCTGGACGGTACAGCGATGGGAGTAAACCAGGTGAAGTCCTTTACCAAGTCTGCCCAGAGTCGGTCTTTTGTGGAGAAGCTTTCTGAGAAGCCATTGCATCGTGTCTACATGCAGTATGTTGAACAGAATAGCAATCCCACCGACTCCTTCGCCTGGATGAAGTCGGCTGGTCTTAAATGTGAAACTGAGGGCTTCCTTTTTGCTGCTCAGGACCAGTCACTTCCCACTCGTAATCGCCTAAATGTGATTCTTAAAGAGAATATTAACATGAAATGTCGACTTTGCAATGAATTTACAGAGACTGTCCAACACCTTGTCAGTGGATGCCCTTCCTTGGCACAAACAGCATATCTTAAACGACATGATGGCATGGCTCTTTGCTTTTACTACCGTCTCCGACATGCCTGTGGCTTTGACTCCGAGGTCCATCCATGGTACGACCCTGAACATGTCCAGGGCGTCATGGAAAATGATGCTTTCAAACTTCTGTGGAATAGGCCCATATACAGCCTCAGAAGAATTCCAGCTAACAAACCTGATCTTGTCCTTTTTGATAAAGCCAATGAATTTATTTATATCATTGAATTTTCTATCCCTTTTGACAGGAATGTGATTGACAAGATTAAGGAAAAGCATGATAAATATGCGGACCTCGCCTTTGAAATGTCTCGCTTGCATCCCAAGTACACTGTCGTCAGGCTCCCCATTGTTCTCGGTGCCCTTGGTTTGGTACCTCCTGATCTCTTGGCGCAGATCAGGAGAGTGCCCGGGTTCTCCACCGGGAGCACAGCCCTTCTGACACTCTGGGTAATGCAGAAGGCTGCAGTGTTGGGGAGCCTTCATATTCTCCGGAAAGTTCTTGGTGGGTTCGACTAGGCAGCGTTTCCTGGGAGAAGTCCCATTCGCTGTCTGGGCTGCGTGTAG